TAACTTCTTGCTGAGCACAATATATGATCTATCATTGTTCCTCTTTTAGGTTATATCGTAAAGTCTTGTACTCCTCATCTTTCTCCTTTCCTATATATTATAACCTCTTGATCTCGATAATCTTCTTATATTGTGATAACATCTGGTTATCTGTACGTGTGTTTTGACACTTCTATGGCGTTATTTTTTTTTTTTTTCTCTCTTTTGGGATTGTTTTTTGGTAATATCCCGAGGAAATTTCTAATTTTCTTCACAACGACCGCCCGGTGTCGAACCATACTATCTTTTGCGTCACCCAGTCCAATCAACACATGTTTTCATACTGTCGTCTTCGGCACTACATTCACGACTACAAGCCCAGCTTTTGCCACCCAGAAATGTTGGTTATGTTTTATAATATTGTTTAATCGAACCATGCCAAAAAAAGAGTGAAAGAGTGCACGCTATATGTACCACCTTGGCAATCTGTACCTTGATTTTATATTATGATTTTTTCTAAGGCAGTATTTAGCCGCTTTCACACCAAGTACTTTGCCGTACTTAGTTCCGAGCACTTAGTACCCCATGGAACTAAGAGCCGATCGCGTTCACACCAGAATAAATTCCCTGAGGGAAGATTACGCAAACGAAGCCGCTGACGTCACTTCTTCTTCTTCTGCTTTGGGTTTACTGACAGACCGCAAACAATTTCACAGCGTATACTGCCACCCGAAGTGGCCCGCCCGGAAGTCCCCGGAGTTGGGGACAGGCTTCCCAGTAGCTTCTACTGAAGCCTTCCGAGTAAATCGCCAGAACGCCGACACCTCCTCATCACTCCACCGATCCAATGTTTTTTTTTTGTGTTGCCATAAGTTATTCTCTCTCCGTTGGTGCGCAGGGCTAATATTAATGCTAATAATGCTAATGCCAGCAAATACAATGGCGGCTTCCAAAAAACGTTTCCGAGCTTTACGGGGCGTGGTTTGTAATTCGCCCAGCCGATCAGAAATGTGAACTTTTTTCTCCCCAGGAAAGTACCTGGTCTCTAGCAGGGACTAAAAAGGGGGTAAAAGTTCTCATGAACTAAATTCTCTTTTTGGTGTGAACGCAAAATCCCAGGAACTAAACGGGAAAAGTACGGGGAAAAGTACTCCGGTGTGAAAGCGCCTTTTGCCATACAGCATTGTTGAACAACAAACTTTTAGGAAAAAAACTAGGTAATTTAATGCAGAAAAATAAAAACATCCCTCAGATTCTAAGCTATTATTGGATCTACATTATATTGAGCTGGGAATACAAAGAAGTTGCCCACAATGAGGCCCTAAGACCCAGGTCATAAATAAGGGTTTGAAGCTCTTTCTAACTGTAAACTCATTCCTATATGAGAACATATTCAACCCTCAAGGGTGGACCACAATCCAACCTCAGAAGGGGTTTATAGTCCCAATGCAAGGCGATTTCTTTTCAAAGAAATGTTCCTAAGATCTCTTGGGAAATTGAAATGTGTGTACTCAGCCATAGATCTAAATCTTTAACTTGAATATCTCTTGCTACCCCAGAAGAACTCCCATCCAGCACTAATCCTTCCACTCCATCTTTCACTGTCCGGGGAGACCTGACGATCGTGAGCTGCTGTCAGAGTTTGTTATGTGAGGTGAGGTGGTCAGCCCTTCCCACAGTCCTTTAGGGCTAAAGTGCTCCGGGGGGACGGAGAATACGTGGTTACAAACCAATATGTGTGGTAGCTGGGTCTCCTGTGCACTCATCCACCATATATGAAGATATAGACATTTTCTCTGGTTGGGATGTAAAATAAGCTTTCTCCTTGCTGTTTTGGGCATCAAATAAAGCTGTAGAGTCTCTCACCGCTGCTAGGCTTGTTTCGGGTGCCGCACTGAGGGATGTTGGTGCAGAACATGGTGCGGACTCTTGGGTCCGTAGTGAAGCACCATGGGAATTCTCGGCCGTCTGGATTCCGGCAGTAGTTTTCTCCCAAGTCCCTGGAAAACACAGAGAAAGTCATGCTGTAATCTGCTCGGATATGAGTGAATGCAGGCGGGTGAGTGAGTGGATGGTGTCTGACTCACTTGCAGGGGTAGGCTTGAGGTATGAATGTGTGGTTATGGGGATACTGAGAGTCCCAGCGTTGGCAGATGAGTCCAGTTGGCAACACGTCTACCGTCCCCCTGTAAACCTCTCCTCTGCCCTGGTAACACTCGGTTGTTTCCACCAAATCACTTGTAGGAGTTGTTTCTGGGAGCAAAAAAATAAATACAATGAGGGGTGGGTGATTTTGGTCAAGGTAATACGTATTTTCTAACACATAGCTTGTGTGGATACCCAGTTGAAGGAAATAGTTTGATTAAGGTCTTAAGAAACAACCAAAGCTTGTAGAAGTTTTATAGGGTAATCATTTTAGTAGTTAAGACTTTAAACCTTGTTGTTTATTGGTGAAACATGCAAGGTGTTTCAACATCCCCCAAAAAACAAACATGTGCATGCCATGACACTCTTTTGCAAAACACATTCAAAAACAGTCGTTAAATTCCATGTAAACACACTCTTTTTCAAGTTTCTCACCATTTATCTGGTTATTTTCATGTTGTTGTAGTAGTTATCTAAACAGCCTACATTTCTTTTCCACCTGCTTTCCACAGAACATCAAATGTTTCCAGTTTAGAAAACACACTATATAATGAGGCTGAAATGACCAAAAATTGCAAGAACAAGGCATGAAATCTTATCTGCCCTACTTTTTTTAAGGGCTGGTCATTACGCACGAGTTGCAAGGGTTCATTAGCCCGAACGTTGTGCGTGGTTGTAAACAAAAATCTGTAAAGTGGCTCATATTCAAGACTCTAAAAAAAGGAATTTTGTGTCCATACAATGTGCCTAAAAATAGATATGTACTAGTTGTGACAGTAAACAAAATAGCCGGCCTTGACACAAGAACACTTTGTCTCTCTCCTCTCTGCTCTCGCTGCCTTGTTTTGATTAAGACCAACTGGGTCGTAAACTTGGTCTGTTCCCAACAAACCCCCATATCAGAGAAAGACAGAGACAGAGAGAGGTGGAGGGATCGAGGAGGGGGACATACTATTTAGAGAGGGAAAAGAAGGGGGGAATAGTGAATCACTGGGTCCACATGGAGGAGTGCCATCTAGTAAACATTGTGCCAGGACTGCTGATGATTCTTGCAGAAAAGCAGACTAGTCCCAGACCCAAGAGAAAGAAGCTGAGCCCAACAATAACACCAATGCTTTGCTCTCTTTGTTTTGTGTTCTTGAGGGTTTCTCAGCCACTCGTCACTGATCATAGGTCACCAAAGAGCATGTGGTATCTGCTGATGTGCTACATTGCATTGACACCCAGATTAAGAAGCCAGATATGACACATACACCTTGCTCTTACGCATCAATCACACTGCTTTCCCTAAGTGTATAAGGTATAATGAAAGCGATCTGCTTGTAGTGTGTGTGTGACCCTGGTGTTGTGTCTGTGTGTGTAACAGGAGGTTAATGTGAAGCAGTAACTGAGCAGAGCAGTTAGACCAACGCACATAAGAGCTGGCATAGAACAATAAACAGCAGTCCAGTGGTGCAGGGGAAAAATAAACACTTTGGCTATTAGAGAAGACATAACAGAGAGCCAAACTAAAGAGGGGAACTGTGTGTGTGTGTGTGTGTGTGTGTGTGTGTGTGTGTGTGTGTGTGTGTGTGTGTGTGTGTGTGTGTGTGTGTGTGTGTGTGTGTGTGTGTGTGTATTTTCCTTAGTATCAGCAAGTGAGTGGGAGAGGAGTGGTCAAATGAAAGGTACAGGAAGTTGTAAATACTGGTGCCGTCAGTCACACTTCGTGGGCCTGTAAAAAACACACCCACGCACAGACATACATAGACTTGTACTTAACATGCATGACATCTTAACCACGCACAAACAAACACAAATGCATGCCTACCACAAACTTTGATGTTGCAGTACTCCCAGGGTGTGTTTGGATCTGTGGTAAAGCACCAGGGTCTGTGGCGTCCGTCTGGGTTCCTACAGTAGTTATCATCCAGGCCCTTGTCAGGGTACCTAATGCAAAACATGCAGGAAAAAATGATTATGTATAGACAATAGCGATATAAGAGTGAAGCCCATTGAACAAAACAACCATCAAACTGTTACTTGGACCACAAATCTCTGACTTGAAGTTGAGTATGTGTCACGTTTCTCAAAGCCCAGAGGTGCCTGAAAGGGAAATCATATTTCCATTTTCCTTCCAATTCTTGGGAGAACAGAATAGAAGTGGTGAGACAATTCACAAAAGTGTTGCACGCAACGGAAGCATTAATAGCTGGAACGGTGAGAGGACTCCATCTGTAAATCTGTTCTGAGCTCAGGGGATAGTTGAAGATAATAGGTTGCACCAGTACAGGTGTTCTACAGTAATTCATCCCACAGTCCCACGTCCCTTCAGGCCTACAGCCTCCAGGCGTGCTGTATCAGGCTATGGGACCCACTCATTATGTGAGTGCTATGAGCAGTCTGGGACCTGGTTTACACAAACACTGGGATGATTAAGGATGTGTTAACGAGTCCACACTTATCCAGACCACCTGCCATGTGACTAGCTGGAACACTCTCCTGACACAGAAAGCAGACACGCCTAGACAACCAAGGACAGTCAGGAATACTAATACAGCCGGAAACCTGGTGATCCCTAAGATATGTATAATACCGTATCATTATTATTACTGCTAGACACAAGTCTGTTTTCAAATCTTTTAAAAGTTTCAACTGATTTGGGCCAATAAAGTGGGAGTCAATAGTTTTTCCAGATCATTGCTGCTAAAAACACACAATTACACACTGGATTCTGCTGGCATTCATTCATGGAAAGGCACACTGGCTGACTGTAAATCATTATTATTCTTAAATGATTGCGTGAAATTATTACTACATAAAGTATTCTCATGCTTTGTGCATTTAAATTATGTGTATCCATGTGTGTGGGCTTAAGCTTGATGGAGCATGTACGATTTAGTGTAATGCTGAGTGATACTGTGTGTGTGTGTGTGTGTGTGTGTGTGTGTGTGTGTGTGTGTGTGTGAGAGAGCGTGTGTGTGTGTGTGTGTGTGTGTGTGTGTGTGTGTGTGTGTGTGTGTGTGTGTGTGTGTGTGTGTGTTACCTCTTGGGGTGGTGCAGGTGTTTGTGCGGATCATCCAGGTCCCAGCGCTGGCATTCCTTTCCACTCTCTGTGTGGTCCATGGGTCCTCTGTAATCTTCCCCATTACAGTGCATACATTCAACTACACACACACACACACACACACACACACACACACACACACACACACACACACACACACACACACACACACACACACACACACACACACACACATGCAGATACATAGACAAACACATCCACAAAGACATAGAGCAACAGCTTAGAGAAATACAGAATCAAACTACTAAAGATTCACTTAAAAAGAGCCTTAGATAAATAAATCCTGATACTTTTGGTTGTAACACAGTGGGACAAAGCAATAAACTCAGAAAAGGGAATACAGTTAAATATTTCATAAATCTACCTTAAGTTCACACATCTACACTTGTCGTTGGATGCACTTAATATGTGTCACACTAATGATGCCCATTATCTCTTTGATGTCTAGAAGGCACCACGTTTTGCACGGTGACTAGGACTCACCATCTAGTGTAAACAACAGAGTGCATGCAGATTAGAAACAGATGTTTATGAGTCCACTGCTATCATGACCGAGCACACTTACTTCAACTGACTGCATGCGTATGTTTGTTTGTGCACGCCATGTTTTGTGTGTATGTTTCCTATTATGACCAGCTAATTTCTGGAGAAACATTTCATGTCATTCTCTTCAGAATTAACAAAGGCTATATTTCAAGATAAAAAGTAATTATCTTGGTCTGTTCAACTTCTGATAAAGCAGCAGGACACCATATGTGAGTTTGAAAGCAGGAAGAATTCCCGCACTCTTATCGAGCCTCGGTCTGGTTCCTTATGAAGGTGATCCAGTGGCATACATGCAGAGGAAACCCTTCTGACAGAACAAATCCCAAGGAATGAGATAAGGTCATTATCAGGCCTTTCTTCAGCATGATATCAGTGCCTGACAGTAATATTCTGTGATTTAACATAGAGGCTGCGGTGGAAAGCACTTTTCCTTCATTACAAGTTTTACCTCTACAGACCTATGACTCAAAAAAGTAGTTACCTTTTAAGTGTGCCACAGGGATGGATGAAATAGCTAACAATGTATCTATAGGAGACGACAGGGGGATTAATATCCTCTAACATTCCAGCATCAGCCTCTTAAGGTTCAAACTGTTTACCAATCCTGGACCTGATGGAATGAGAGTGGACAGCTTAAACTGAACCACAGACTTGGAAACGGCTACAGCTGGTCTCAGCAAATACAGAAAACCTGTGCCCCACCACACATGTTCACACACAGATGTAGAGCCAGCTTTGCTTAGTTTAAGGAACTACATGATTGCTTAATTTGCAGCAACTCATTTCAGACAATCAAGCCTCAATTGGTAGGGCAATTTGCAACAAGGAATGGGCATTATTTTAAGATAAGTGTCAGCTCAGATATATATAGACATATTTTGTGTACGTGAGTGTGTGTTTCTTTGTGTGTGTGGCCTACCCTGTGAACACTGTGGTATGCCACACTCCTGGTGTCTGAGGTGTGGGCTGGGGTCAGTGGTAAAGCACCATGGTCCAACGGTGGAGTTGTCTGGGTTGCGACAGAGGTTTTCCCTGAGGTCCTTCTTCCTGAATTTCTTAGACATGAATCTGTGAAGAGCAGAGCCGTAGTTACACAATCAGACACATGTACGTAGGGAAATAGTCAGCTGGCATGAAGAGCAAAGAAACTCAAGGTCACAGTTTCGGTTTCTCTTTACAGTACATAGCTTTGACAGAATCCTCTCCTCATTTATGAGACAACTGCAGTTTATCTCTGATGGCTGAAACCTGGCTGTAAACATGACCAGTGAACATTACCAACTGTACAAATAATTGACTGCTATGCATAAAGGTCAAACTGTTGATGACAAGATGTTAACAATGTCAGAAAACACATTATAATGTAGAAGCAATGTTAGTTTTGAATGAGGCTGGTTCTGAATGTAATGTAAACACACTGACAAATGACTCATATCTTCTACATCAGGCTAGCATATGGCTGTGGTCACCAGTTGAGAAGATGGACATAGTGCAGTCTTTGAGTCAAGCTGTATTTCTTCCCATGACGATAAAAAGATAACATTCTGAAGTTGTCTGAAGTGGAACTAGGAATGACAGGGAAAGAAATGAGAAGGAGTTTGCTGGACAATCAAAGAAGAGTAGAAGGCTATCACAGATACAAATGCAATTTGTTCTGTGTGTGTGTGTGTGTGTGTGTGTGTGTGTGTGTGTGTGTGTGTGTGTGTGTGTGTGTGTGTGCGCGCGTGCGTGTGTGTGTGTCAGAGTTTCCCATGCCTGTAAGCTGACTGATAAAACATACAAAGCGGCTGGGTTCAATTACCCGATCTACAGAGACATTAATAGCAGACTGATACAGCAGGTTCACTTTAGGTACAAATGTACACTGCCCTCTTTGATTCGACATCTCACTACAAAGCCTTTCAAAGTCATTTAATACCTCCCAGAAGTGACAAGGGGAGAAGGAAGGAGGTAGCATTTGGTTCAAATATAATAAAGGTCTAAGATGAGTTGTATGTTTCATTTTTTAGGTTCTCTGATGGATATTAATATCTGACAATTGATAAACGTAGTTATTCTTTTACTGGTCGTTCGGGAGGCGCACTGCATCAAAAAGAATGCCCGAGCATTTAAAAATGAGCTTTATCTTGAAATGTGGCTGCGGGATGTACACAAAGCTTAACTAAAGGCTGCATATTAGATAGGATCCAAACACACACACACACACACACACACACACACACACACACACACACACACACACACACACACACACACACACACACACACACACACTCTCTCTCCTCTCTCTCTCACACACACACACACACACACACACACACACACACACACACACACACACACACACACACACACACACACACACACACACACACACACACACACACACACACACACACACACACACACACACACACACACACACACACACACCTAGATAAACAGTAGGGCTGCAGCAGGAAATGATCTGTGACTCTGTAAAGTGTTACAATGAGGTCAGTTCTGATGAATGACTGCTCCCAGGAGCCTAATCAACCCCTAATATATCATACTCATACACACACACACACACACACACACACACACACACACACACACACACACACACACACACACACACACACACACACACACACACACACACACACATACAGTCTAGCCCCTGGCTACTAGCTAATTGCATCACTGACCAATACTAACAGTAAGAAGCAGCTTTAGCACTACTTGTTTGACATTGTGGTAAAAAGTGTGTCAGATTCTTACTTGTGTTCATGAGGAATAGGAGAGGCCCAGGCTTGGCACAGGATCCCGCTCACTGTCACCGACCTCCGTCCCCTGTAGCTCTGACCTGTACCCACAATGCACTCCCTCACATAGTCTGAACGAGAGTCAGAAAGAGAGAGGAGGCGAGATGGAGACAGAAAGACAAGATGACAGAAAGACAGTGAGTTAGTGAGATGAGCCAACAATCTGATCCCAGTGTTGTGTACGCAGAGCCAGTATGGATGATGAGGAAAACAGACAGAAGATGTTCAGCTATAATGCTCAGCTTAACAAGGACACAGCGATGCCAAAAGCCAAATCTGTTTTCCTAATCTTCTGCAAAACACTTGGATCCATTCAAATAGTCTACACAGCTTGTATGTTCACTGTTGTGGTCAGTCAGAGAGAAGTGAGATGGGGGTTTCCAGCGTTTACACAAACTTAATGACAGAAAATGAACCATAATATGTTGCGACACAATAAACACAACAATGGTCCTGACTCCTTGCCCTTCCTTCACATGCTCTCTTAAGGAATTGCAATTTAAGAAATCACTCAAAATAGGTATTCACATGGTTTAAAATGTTTCATTAACACAACATGGAGTACATTGAAGCAATGCTGCTAATTTCAAGTGGCAGAAATATTTACTTTCTGATGGGATTGTAACAGTGGGGGCAGCACTTTAGTTTCAGCTGATTGAGAATAAAGATGTAACAATATATTTCACCTTTCTTTTGATACAGTTGGTAGTTGAAGTCCTGTTGGCTCTGAACTCCTGGTGAGTTCCTGTCGAACGGCAGCCACTGGCATTTCCTGTTTTTATGATCATAGAGGAACGCTCTGGAGAATAAGGAAAGGAAAGGAGGGACAGAGAACAGAGAAAGAGTGAAGTACATCAAGTCAGGGCAGTTAACACAGCTGTTACAGAGCAGTTAGATTGACTGCTTAACAAGAAGGACAACAAATGGATTTTACATGTGGAACATGTAATTGAGGAACATTAGTACCACTTAACTCTCTTTGCACTGAAAGCCATTCATTCACAGTGTTGGAGACTACATTAAATATGTTCTGAGAGTGTAGACATACCTGCAGCTGAAAGGTAATCTTTTGTTACGGCTACAGGCTTTGGCACACTTTGCCATGCTTATTTTCTTGCTTTTGGTCAGGTGGGAGGAATCCGGAGACTCGACAACCAGTCGCAAACCATCTGTCTTCTCGTAGTCCTGGAGAGCGTTTCTTCTGCCCTCTTAACACAGTTACATAACATGTCAGCAGCATGTACAACTAGTCCGCCATCATAAACCCTATGGCCTGATGACAATAACATACTGAACTCATCATTACAACAAGACAGTCTCCATACTTTATTGATGTTTTACTTTTATTAGGACTATTAGATAATATGAGAAAATAAACACTGAATTGAGTTTTACATTGAAAGTGCTAATACTAATAATTGATGAATAGACATGCATTATAGAAAACACTTCTCTTTGGTCTGGGAGACATCATGGATAATCTGCTAATTATTGCATTTAGACTGAGAACATTGTGCAAGAGCATGCAATGTGTCAATTAGACTGATATAACTGTTATAAATCAACAGACTCATAGACACACATAAACACTCAATTTTGTATATCTGTGTGTTGCCCAAGTTATTGGCAGATCCCTGCAACTCTGCAAATCAGAGAACTAGCAAGACATTTACATTTAGTCAGAAAACGACTTTATCCTCCTCCTACATACCTTAAAGTTCTGCCTACATGCACTTCACTTGATCTAATACCTTTGAATAACACCAACAATAACATAACATAAACAAAGTGGGGTTTCTGTTGGAAAAGTGCACATCGGTTCTTGGAATCACGTGTCATAAACAATCCCAGAGCTGCTGTTTCAGGCTCAGTATTGGGTGTTTGTGATCTGAGGGTAGCAGAGTTCACTGTCTCAGCAGTTTCTCTGCCTGAGTGCCTATGAGCACTGGGCTGCAACATCGCACTACAGGATGACTTAAAGACGGGTCGTAAGAAAGTGGGTTGTTTCTACTCACTTGACGTAGAACGTTTAATCTTGTGATCCATTCATATAATATTCATATTATTAACGCGTCCATGCGGTGCGCGGTGGCACCGAGTGCATGGTTGCATTACGTTCACTCGGCAAGAGTTGAGATTTAAAAAGCCCTGCTACTCAGGAATAATGAAGACATCACTTTCATAATTCTTCCAGGAATGGCCAATTAAATAAATGTTCTCAAGACTAAGAGTCACTTAAACTAACCAAGTGCCTGATAGCGATGGTAGTACACAGCCGAACATGATAAAGTAATTTTAAAGCCTCCCACAAGTTTGACAGTCCTTTCGCACAGAGCGTAAAGCAACGTGTTCTGGCACCAGCTCCAGCCAGTGGCAGACGTTACGGAGCAGAACGGTTAGTCAAAACTTACCAGAACAAGTAATGACGAAGAGTCCGAACATGAGCTTGTAAATCCACATCGTCGCGTCACAGAAGAACCGTTTCAGAAAATAAAAATGGAATATGCTGCTTGCTGTGCTGTCGGACTGCAACTAGGAGATGTTGCTTCTGCCACTGCACAGATGATGCGTCTCCTCTCTAAGTACTTCCTCGCCTCCTTCCCTCCCTTCCTCCCCCCTCTCCGCGCGTGTGTATGACTTTATATTTTCGCCTTTTGTTTCTCTCTTTCTTTTTCAAAGAAGTGTTCTTTAGTGGCCTGATTGTGACATAAATAAACTTCAGTGATATGTCAATGTTGATACCCTTATCAGTAAATCAGATTTATGTCACTGTGTATCAGAGGCTATTGTGAGTTAACATGTGCCATCAATCGATCCTCCTATACCAATACATTATTAAATTATACTTTGGAACTTTCTTTGTTCCCCCCTTCCTGTCTTTAAAAACATTCAAAACCACTTGGAAGTCCTAAAAAACAGCATTAGTTTGACCATATATGATTATTTATTATTGTATATAAATGATAATAAGGCCTTCTCAGAATACACATAAAGATACATTTATTGGGGTCTTCTGAATTCTTCAATGAATTAACGAGATTTAAGAATCCAATCAAACACGAATATTTACAATTAATTTTGACAGAGGCACACTATAAATTCATGAGCAAAAATAGGAGGAAAATAGTAATAATTGTGTATTTATTCAACATATTATGTGTCCATCCATCCCTCGCTGTCACACAGCAGCATACCACTCAATCATCCTTTTCTCCCCAAGATCACCAGGCTGCACTGTGTGCACAATGAAACAGATATTGGCAGGCACTTGTCAGCACCGGGAAACAAGGGATGTAAAAGAGGAGGGGGGAGTCTGTTTGGGGTTGTTTATGCTATACTTTCCTTCTTCCCCCTTGTCAGATAAGAAGTGAAGTTACTCAAGTTAGTGGTGGGGGGTGGCTGAGGACAAGACATCCCAATCCATCTCCTGAGTGTCATCTCTATTTCCAGCGATGACAGCATGAGATAGGAGATGTGACACTTAGCTGGCCATAACATTTCTCTAAACATCTCTGATGCGGCAGGCACAGAGCAAAAATACTCTCCTCGAGTGACAGTCCGGTGGGGTGCGCAGTAAATAGAAATCACATTATTTATCCTGGCTCAGATTAAAAAGTTACTGCATTGCGGGGATTCCCGGTATTTCATTAAACAGCGGAATAGATGAATACATATGTAAGAGGAGACAGGCTGCATCTATATCTCCTCTCTGGTTCAATGAGTAATGCTCTTGCGGCTTCCTGAGAGGACCACAGTCACTCGCAATAATAAACAATCAGCCATGAGTCAGATACTTTCACTGGAGCGGAGCACAAGTCTCTTTTTCTTTCTCTCTCTCTCTACCTTCCTTTACGTGTGTAAAATAACCACACACGCTCTCTCTTGCAGGCAAACAAGAATTCGGACTTTCTTCTGTCACTGTGACAATCACGCATGCTCGTACATAACCAGCAGCAGATGAGAGCTCAAACCTTCACCAGTTTGAACCCTCAATACCACAATCTTATTACTGACTCTCCAAACAAGAATCCAGTGGGTGTTTCAAATGCGTCTGAGAGCCACGCTTTCTGCTTGAAGATGGAAATTAGAGAGAGCCGGTAGCCCACTGCTCACTCATGAGAACGCCGTCACCATTCGAGACTCCTCACATCTGTGGCTTGTTATTGCCAGAAACTTCATATCTGTAATGGCGGGAGGAAGTTCAGTGGGAGATGGAGATGATATGGAGAACCAAGAAGCTGATACTGAGATAGCGTAGATGAAGAGCAATGGGAGTAAAATGGATGGACTGTAGCAGAGAGGCCCAATACAAAGCAGTGTGCTGAAGGCCGGGCTGTCTGAGTGCATATTTGTGGAGTGTGCGGAGTATAAATAGACATCCTGCAGAAGTTTGTGTGTGCATTGTGTGAGTCATGTGTTGTATACTGTTATATCTCCATGCATGTGCGTGTAGGTACATGTCCATGTGAGTTTTCATCTGCAGCAAATTACTTGGACCTCATTGTGACCTTTTATCGTTCCAGCCTCTTTTTCAGAGTTTAGCTATATGTCCTTGTGTAAAGGGTAGGTTGGAAATTAAAAGAATGAATGAGAGGGATAGGGGACAGACATGGGGATAGTTTGAGAGAGACAGCAACAGATAAGGAAGTAGAAAGGGACTCCGATTGAGGAAGTGTAGGAGTGCAGAAGGGAGGTGGCCCAGGTATTTTACTATAATTAGAAAAATGTTGGGGTTGTGTGTGTGTGCTGGAGGGGGCAGTGTTTTTTTGTGTGTGTGTGTGTGTGTGTGTGTGTGTGTGTGTGTGTGTGTGTGTGTGTGTGTGTGTGTGTGTGTGTGAGAGTGTGTGGGTGTGTGTGTGTGTGTGTGTGTGTGTGTGTGTGTGTGTGTGTGTGTGCCTTTGTGTGTGTGTGCCTTTGTGTGTGTTGGGGGTAGTGATGACAGTCGTGGGCCTAGAAGCTGTAAACACAGATACACTGTCAAGAGATCCTCCTTTAAACAAACACACACTTCCTGTTGTCAGTGCAAGCGATTGTAGTCACTGCTCGTAATTGAGATCTGCCGACAGTTACGGGTAACACAAATAAACCACGCACAAGCACAATCTGTCCACACAAACAGTTCAAAAATATGGCTTCTCGGATTAAACATGTGCAAAACCAAACTTTTCTTTTCATTGAGCCCTGTGGAGTGCATTAACGTCACATTTCTATTTGATTTATAAAATTGCAACATTGAAAAAAGGCTGTGGGCACCAGACGGTAATGAGAAACTTGAGTTTTAAAACATCAGTGCATTACAATGCACATTAGCAGAATGAGTCACCAACACATTTCTATAAATAGTATTAAAGAGGAATAAAGGACCATAGCAGATATCAGGAAAGCACTCAATATGCCAAAGAGTTTCCCTCACTCAGAGAACAGAGAACCACTGCTTGTCATTGATGTACTGAAAGTCTCCATCAAACATAAAAAGCTATACTCATGACTCAAGACCATGTTGAATCAAATTTCAACTAAGTCATATGTACAATGAAGTGTCTTGGAAATTATATCTATTTATATAATTATATATGTGTATTTATTTTTTGCTAAACCATTTAAATTTCACAGGAGAATAGTTAGCAGCAAACCTCAAATTTAGAATATTTTGAGTTGCAGTCAGTCTCTTATTTGACAGCATTTTAAACTCATAAAGGTTAATAAGAAAAGTATTACAATGAGATATTAAGTCTAAAGACGCACTAAACATTTAAACTCCACAGATTGAGTTCACATTGCATCGTGACATTCAGCCTTTTGTTTGTACCCCCTCCTGTGTTTATGGGAGTTGATGTGAACGTTTGAGACAAAACCTTGGAACAATTCACCATCAAAATGGCCTTGTGAGTTTGTATATCCACTCAAGCCATAACTGTTTAAATGACACATCCTTTAGCATGGAACACATTACATGTTTCGCATAAACACATCAACATCCTACACACCCTCTATTGTGCCGGCACTTTGACAGTCCATGTCAGTCACTCAAAAGAGTACAACACTGAATGTGGAGAAACGACTCAAATAGCTCATGTTACCTATACTGTACATAAGCTATTTTTTAGAGGAAGTGCTATTTTGTGCTATTGTCTTGCTTTCACATACAAAATATGTATTTGTGTAACCACAGTCCTGGACACAGTGATACCTTTACTCCCCTTAGACCTGTTCATAAATACTTGGAGTTAATTAGAATTACTTAAAATAAAACGTGTCATTCACCACACACAATTAATGTATCTTCATAAAATCCATGTAACCATTAAAGTTATTTAAAAAGTGTTTAAAATGCAACTTGCAGATCTAAATACTATCCAAAATTCCAACATCTATCACAACAAAGTAATAAACACCACTTGGACACGAGATGATACAATTAAATATTACAAGAGGACAAGGAGAAAAGGGAGAGCAGGTCTTAAAATAGTGATTAAACCTGTGTTTGCTCATTTCTTACACATCTGCTAACCTTCAGCTTGTCTTGTCTGCTGCTTACGGCTAATTTACCCCGCATGACTCATGCAGAAGGGGAGACACTCAGGGGAGGGAGGGTGGTCGGTAAGATTAAAGAACAGAGAGGGAAAAAAGCTGCTCTGGGGCAGCAGGTATATTTCATCCCACATGTGTCTGTGTCAGACCTCATACGAGTAATTAACATGTTGATGATGAACATAGCATGGGCGAGCGGCAGCGTGCAGTCTGGGTCTTCAGGGCCCACCTGAGTGATTCGCCAGACACGCACTCAGGTAACTTGAAGCATGAAACACACAAACATGTTCTGTGGGGTCTTTAGGAGCCAGCTGCAATAGTTTTACCAGTTTACTCACTCTTAATGGAAGGCCAGCACAACAAAGATGCGAGAAGCACGACACTCATCAAAGTGTCTACAACCACAAACTCCCCCCCTTCTCTCTTGATCTAACATGTTTATCTTTTTCTTGTAAGCATATTTCTGTATGACTTGAAGACAAAACAAACAAACAAGAACTTGTTTTGGCCCATGTTTGGTCTCTTTCTGATTACATCATAATCTAGTTTATAATTATATTTTAATTTCTTCTTTATGAGACATACTAAATGTCCTCAATACTAAATAAATCAACCAGAACCAGCTGTCAAGCAATATCTTATATTTTAATATTATATTTATTATCATCGTTATTATTATAATTATATTTAAGTGAATCAATATTTTTAAATACTTTAATAATCAGTGATGATGCTTTAAGAAAAACTTTTCAAGCAACACATTGCCTAAATTCCCTTTGGCTATAGGAATATCTTACTCTCCCTTTATCTTGTCCTGCAATGAAACATGATGATTATTGTTTGTGAAATATCTTTACACCTACTGGACTGGGGAAATGATGGGACATTTTATCCCCAGAGGAAGCTTCCCAATAACTTTAGAGATCTTCTCACCTTCATCTAGCACCATCATCAGGTCAAAGTTTCAACTTGTCCAATACTGACCAAACACCTGCAAAGATAAGGACATTCCCATCCGCACCTTTTATTAAGTATTAATTCTAACTGTTTATTAACAGTGCACATTGGGAAAATATTACTTTGGTTGACATGTTTGACCGATAATGGAGATTCTTCCAAATTATCTGTTTAACAAAGAGTCTACTCTACATTATTTTAGCTCTGCCTTAAACATGTGTAATTGATGTAGTTGCTATTCTGGTTAATATTATTTTATCATCAGAGGAAGATGTAAGGGTCTACAACAAATGTCAACCTAGTTGTCTAATTTCATCAGAGCAACAAACCTAAATGTATTTATAAAGATGATTATCCGAAAACCTGAGCATTTGCAAGCAAGAGAATGACATACACGCTTTAACCTTGCTGAATGTGCGTGCCCCCCACAAATCTAACACCTCATGTTACCAGTTAATGTATGTGAGGCCCCACTCTAAACACAGAGAAAATCCACAAATCAATCTCCAATCTGCGCTGGAATGGAATGTGTCGCGTTGAGGCTGTTCACCTGGACAGAGTTTTCGAATGTTACGCCTGCCAATCACACCAAGCATTCAGACACAGCACAGCCTGCTTACAATCTGAAAGACGAAGGGGGAGAAAAACCAAGGTAGTCATGTTTATGGGTTTGGAAAAGCCTGTGGCATTTCCTGATCATCCATGCCTGCCAAGCCTCTGTTGGTGTTCTTTCCAACCCTCAGTGTGTCTAACACCAATTGTTGTCTTCCTTTTACACATAATATTTTAAGACTTACTTTGGCTAATGTTGTTGCCAGATTTAGTGGGGTTTTGAAGGAACAGGTGCCAAATGTGAACAAGCACAGGAAAAAATCTAAAGCGTGTTCAGGATCTTTTCTGTGATAAAGAAAAACTTGGATGTTATCTGTATTTTCCTTTTGCAGCAAACAAAATCCATTTAGAGTTACATAATAGTTAGCAGCAAAACGATTTATAATACCCTTTGATAAAAGGGAAAGCATGTGTCTCATACGGGAATATACAGTATGAGTGTGTTGGTGGTCACTTACATTGGTTTAGCTTTCATTACGGGAGCTACAGTAGAACGAAACCTCAGTGCCCCTAATGCCCTTCCCTGGACTGTGTTTTATGGTGATGGAAAACGCTGTGACCTTTCTGTTACTGCTTACAGGAAGTGTACACTTTTTTTCCTATTAGAAAAAAACAAATGGTGCCAATTAAAAACACACCACATTATTGTTACCAGATTGAGGGAAGTTTATTCTGACTTGGGTTGATTGCCCTGGGCCTGTCATGACCCGGAGGCTGCTGACGGTGTCGGGACTAAATTTAGCTCTAATGCTGCAATCAAAACGTCATTGAGCGTCAATGCTGTTCCAAAAATAGTCTTCGCTGGTAAAACTCTACGCAAAAGGATGTTCAATTTTTATCAAATGAACTTCAGAGAGGTTAACCAATAACATGCTGGTCCTTGGAAGTCCAGTCACGGTTCATGTTGTTGATGCATTGTTAATCTTATGTGTTACTTCCTGCAATTAGTGAAACAAAATAAAAGAAAGCCTCTTAAAGTTAGTCACACAGTTCCAGCTTTGAGTGATTTAGTCTGGGTGAATTGCTTTATGGAATTGTTGGATAATGGTAAAAAGAATAACGGATGGGCAGAAAAACGAAGTTAAAACAAAGAAGAAAAGGCCTGTCACTCAAATGTAAATGCGTATATTGTATGAATCATTGTTCTGTTTGACATTACCACAATACCAGAACAATTGCATTAACATCTTGATAGGAAAGAACCAGTCAGGATGGAGTTTTCCGTTTTAAGCAAGTCTCAAATTTAGCCCTGTTATCCAAACCATTTCTTTGGATGCATAAACAAGGGGGAACCATACTAATATCTGAATTGTAAATCTACATCTGCACATCATTGCTACAAGAATAGCATGCCAAAGTTCAATTAGACAATAAAATGTTTAACAGACAGATAATGTAATTATATTAATGTTTGACTCTTTTATCTTTCCAAAACGAACAGTTTAATCCATAGTTAAAACCATTTTTTTTTTTTTTTTTTTAATTTATAGAAGGACCATGCATACAAAAACATTAATCTCAGCAAAGAGAAGAGATGCAATATGCCAGATTATAGCTAATAGCTAATTTCCATCTGTGGTCCACCTGGACTTGTTTTGTGGTTGGCCAGCGGTCTAACCCACATACCTTAACTGTAATACCACAGTTTGATTCTGGCCTGCAAGTTTTATTGCATTTCACTGCCTTTTGCTCTCTTACCAAGACTTTGGTAATATTTAACTGTCAACAACGTAATAAAGTAAAAATACTCAAATAAATTAGAACAGAAAAAAGGAAAGCAGTTGCATGTGCGGAATGGACTCAGTTAAGCAGTTAGCAAAGTCACTTTGGTACCACATCTAGGCAATAAAGATGCTAAGCTATCACAGTTAAAAGGATCCTTGCCCAGAACTAAACAACAAAAAAACATTTATTTGTTCTCTTGTGGGTTTTGACCTTCGTTTTCCAAATTGAAAATAGATGTAGAACTTGTCCCTGCTTATCCTGCGTCTGTAACTTCTTAACCCAGGCATGTTAAAGGGTACGACCTCGTCCCCATTTACAAGAGTATCCTGTTACAACCTCCCTTGTACATATTGCTATATAGCACACCTATCAAGACCTCCCAGTCCGACACATCTCCAAGAAAAACAAACATCTTTATATTTTCCACTCTATACTATGGCCTTATTGATTCTTAGATTACCATCAGATAAACACAAATACCATCAGGTAAAGCACTTGTAATGTAGTAGGAAGGAAGAACTACTGTCTAACTCTGGTGTTGGCATCTGGCTTTCTGATGCTTTTGGCAAAAGATAGTTAATTGGTGCCTGGTGGAAACCTCTGGCCTGCAGGTAAAGCTCCACACACATATCAAGCGTTAGAATTCAAATTCTATAACACATAGGTTTGAGCAAGCTCTCTGATTGGTCAATAGGCGTGTTTGATTCCACGATCAAACAACGATCAAATAGAACGTGCCTAATCACAAAGTATCCAGTGGCCTACACACGCCACTAGCCTACCGAAACTACTTCCATGAGCCTACATTGTGTGGTTTCCATAGTGACGTTTAGCGACACACAGCCGTTACACTGTTATACATTGTCTCTCGTTGGAAATCGGCAGCTACAAAATGTCAGATTTTAAAGTTAATTTTGATTTGTTGGGGGGCCTCAGTATTGATGAATGGTTGGACATGGACACAGACCACAAAACCAACGAAAGATTTGCGGCTGTTTCAACTGACGAGTTGAGTGCGTTGGAAAAAAGGCTATCGTTACCATGGGAACTACTTTCTAGGAACTACTTTCTGACGGAGATTAACTCAAGCAGAAAGTGTAGGTTTGGGAGAAAATTAGCCCACATTATGAAATTATTTTACGATATTGTTGATTACAATGATAGTTTGTGTAATAGAATCGCAATCATACACTTGAGGCCGTTCTTGAACGTCATTATTGGTACGACAGTACTGCGGCAGCGCCGAGGTCCGTACGCCTGTACTGGAGTATGATTGCTTAAGTAAGCACTCTCAGTTTCATCGCCAAATTACTTTTAGTTTGTACTTTTTTCAGTGTAATCAGTAACACTAGTATTGTCACAAGTGTATTACCTGACTGAAAATGTTCCTTACTGTTGTAACCCTACTAAGAATCTTGTTATTGCTGACAGACATTGGTTTAACTACCTTGAGCCATGTCGAAGTGTACCCTATGGTGTGTCAGTGCACCATGTTGTCACTGTTTGTTACTGTACGCCTGCAATATATCACAATTTGTACAACTCCTAACAACAAATCACACACGTCAGTGATGCCTAGTGTGGTCTGACGTTAAACAGACTTTAAACTTTTGAACAAACATGGTAGCAAAACACTACTTTTCCGGCTCTTATTAAGTAACACCTAATCCTAATTTCTTGCAATTATTTGATATGTCTCCGCTGTAAAATTATTAATTATAAAAGGACTTTTTGGCAAAGTAACAATTACCAACATTTGCTTCGTACACAAACACAGACAGTGAAACACAGATGCGGATGCACTTCCCTTTTCAGCAGATGTTTCTTCTTCCAGGAACTATGACATGTTCGGTCTGGTCCGAGTAGAGCCAAAGCAACTGGCCAGATGTGACAATAAAAACAGGCACCTCAGGTCATTACAATACAACACTTTTATTGTGAATATATTATATTTGCACAATAATCAACACCATATTATAAACATTTTTCTTTACTTTCATTTTCTCTTTTTTACAGTAAATAGTATAAGTGTACAAATGTATACAAAAGTTATTCAGGCTAGTCAAGTTCCACAAAAAGAGTAATTCATGTACAGTATTAAAGCACAATCAGATATTGGAGGGACACGCACATGCCTGCACATAGACACGGGATCCCCGGGGTAAAACACATGTCAACACGTAACTTTGATAGACCGGCATAACCTGAACACTCAACAGGGTCAGCATGAAGGCTAGGTGGAGAGAACTCTACTTTCATTTTTTAAATAGCTACAATGAAAAAGGAAAACTTGAGTTTGATCTTAATGCTGTATGGTAATGTGAGGCAATGTAAAAATGACCACTGGGAGTAGTGTATTCTCTAAGTTCTCTCCAACAGGCCCTGATACTGATCATAGGCAAAGACAGCGTTCAAACACAGAACAAGCTCATCCCATGACATTGCAGCATTTCAACACCGAGCCTTCAGCGTCTGCTTCACAGCACTTATAGAGCAAAACAAAGAGGAAACAAGCATAGGGAGGAAAACAGCAAGGAGAAGGAAACAAGGAAACAGTCATTTCGATATGCTGATCTCATTCACAAGTCATTGTGGCTCCTGAGTCATGTGATCCAGAAAGGGAACAGAACAGGCCTAATAAAGAGAGGTTTTGGAAAGTGAGGCTCGAGTCTGGTTTAGGTTTGTTTTGAACAAGAAGGAAAATTAAATCCCTTTCATTAATCAAAATCCCTGCTTGTTTCTGCTGCTGCCCGGGCCACATCAATTATAACAACTGCAGCTGATGTGGCCCATTCCACAACATTTTACTCCAAGGGCTACCATTTTCTACTCAACTGCAGCAGCATTAGCATAAAAGCCTACATGGTGATAATACAACTCTGATTCATTGTTTCATTCAGTAACACACTGATTGAGCTACTATGTAGGCACTGGGAATTTGATGTGTTCAAATTGAAGACAACCAAAGCTGTCAGACCAAGGACAAACACATTTTCAATTGTAATATATTTGGATTCACATGATCTCACTTCATCTCAGTGAGGTATAGATATCTATCTAACGTCATAACTTGAATACTAATAATAAGATTCTCTGTAGTCGGTATAGTGTATCTGTGATCCTTGGTACTGTGTGGAGCTTTGGTGTCAGAGGACTGGTGTTGTCTTTAGCTCTGTACTGAGCACATGCTGCTACAATACAACACCTAGTTAGTCATGTAACGCTATTTGATTTTGAGTATAAAAAATCCCAACTTCATAAATATATCAGTACAGTACATTTCAAAACACTTAAACAAAAAGGGAATATAGTTGCACTGGTGGCCTAAAATAATCATCATTACAGCATTATGATTCATACGCAATAAATAAGCAACAAACAATATTGACAACGACACAAATCAACGCTGTCAGTGAACATACAGTCTTTGAAGGATATTTAGTTGGCATAGTGGGACTCTTCAACCTCCGCAAAATAAATCAAAGAAACTAAAGAGGCAGAATTAAAGGGTTTGGTTAGCTCTTACTCTTGCACCATAAGAGAGGATTATGGAGTATATAATGGAAATGAATGCAGCTGAGCACAGTATATGTGTCTCTATTTTTGGAAATGACAAGGAGGAAACAATTGAGCACCCTTTGGCATTGAAAAAATGAGACGGTCATCATAAAGCATAATGTCTTGTTGCAACTTTTCTGCATACATCCTGCATGGCATAACTGGAGTGTCTCCTGGCCTTGTGTGGGATGAGATAATGATGTGTGTGTGTGTGTAGGGGTCATGAGTTTTGTAAAGCTGTGATGAGCCACATCATCAGTAGTTGGAGTCCAAGCATTTGCCAAAGACATGGGCTCAGGCTGGTCCCTCCTCCACAATCAGAATCATCTTCCTGTTGGATAAAGCAGTTGTCAATCAATCAGATCAACCGTCTTCTACTTTATCCAGTATATCTGCTGTGACTTACACCATCATCAATACTTTTCTAAAAACAATAACGAGCAGTTTATGACTTATATGAGAAGAGCAAAAGCACTCACATATCCATCATCCCAAATGTTATTAAAATAAAGCTGGAACCAGGAAATGCAAAGCAAAAAGACTGGAAACAGGGCTAGCATGGCTCTCTGTAAACACAATCATCCTAGGAGAACCTCAAAAGCTTACTCATAAACACATGTCATTTGTTTATTTCCTACAATGAGTGAAATGTAAAAAACAGAATCCCTGGTTATACAGTGAACATGTGCAGGACTATGCCTTGGTAGTGTGCAGAGCCAGAATTTGGTTTGGATTCTATGTTTGCAGTCTTTGTGCTAATATAACTGCCTGCTAATGGTAGCTTGACATCTACTAGAAAATCATTCTCTCGTTTAACTCTTGACAAGAAAACAAACAAGCATCTTACCCAAAATGATCTGTTAATTTAAATGCTGTGGTGCAGTTACAGAGACCTCATTCTGATTGTGCTGCATGTGTTTGTTTGACAGTGTATTTTTTGTAGTATTCGATGGGAGTATTCAGGATGTCCCTGCATGCCAAAGGCCTAGGAGAGAGAGGTGGGAGTCCAATGTATTCAAAGGGCAGGAAACACACATGGAGCTTCCTTTGTTTACTCCTGTGACAACATTGACTGGCCTCGTCATAAACTGTCTTCCTATAAGGAGCTGAGCCAAAAGTAACAGATGGAAGGAGGAAAAGGGACTCGGCCTACTTTTAATACTTTCATTTACTTCCTCAGCCATTTTTCCCCTTTCCTTTGTGTCCAAGCACAACCTCATCACACCTCCCCCAATAATAAGACATTTTATAAACTGTTCAAAGTTGGGTGATGATGCAATGATCTCACATACACAAGTTATCCACCTTGCTCCTTTGTTTGAATGATTTACCTCGAACCACTATGAACTCCCATCTCTCCCATTAAGGGATTCTACAAAAGCTCATGTCCTACTGTATGAGGTCTGGACATTGTATTGCAATTCTTAAAACCTAAAAGAAATCTCAGTGAGAGGCAAAATGCATCCAAATGTGTTTACATACTTGGCTGACAAAGCATTTAGCAATGCTGAAGAAAAACTGCATATACGAATATTTATACATAGTTTTGTGAAGCTATTATTGCATAGTGGTGCTGTGAAGCTATTATATCAAATTGGTTTAACACTTTTAACTGCCAAGATACAATCTGCTTGCCATCTGTTGGTGGAAAAAACAGGGGGAAAAAACAACAAAAAAAGATGCTAAAGCAAGATGTAGCAGTCTGTTAGGGAGATAGGCACGCCACAAATAAAAACAGTATCATACACAACTGTTTGTATTTAAAATGTGGTATTTAGTTCATTCTAGTTGTCAAATTCTTTCTCACTGTTTTTAAATGTGTATGAAAAATTGTTAATGTAACACAAAACCTATAAACTTATGGAATCATTGTGTAAAAGTACAATAACTGATGTGTTTGAGAGAGTATTTCAGGTGGATCAGAGTTAACATGCATTGGTGAGATTATTTTATCAAATATAACTAGGTGGTGCTTGAATGTTGGGAAAATAGGTATAGGTCCAGCAAATACCTAATTCCAACCAAGCTTTTCCTGATGTGCCCTTACCAGGCACATTGGGATGACCCGACAGTAAAAATGTAAGTAGTTCATATATCTGTATGGAGCTGTGTGAGGTCACTGACCCTGAACTCAGCACCAGAAACAACAAGAGAGGTATTGGGCTCAACGAAGAACTTCTGCTGATTGGACACAAGGGCTCATCCTATCAGACAGGAGCAGCAGCCGGTGGGATGAAAATCATAAAAAAAGAATGACAGAGGATGAGTAAAAAGACGATATAAAGCAAGATAAATAATACAAGTTGAGTCAAATATACATGCAAAATTCATAAAATAAAAATGTTTTAATAAAATAATTAAATGAATGAATAAATCAAGAACGGATCAGAGGGAAAGACGGCACAGGGCTTTGAATCGGATGAGAGAACTGATGAGAAACAGACAGAACTGACAGGAGCCAACAGCTCAGTAATGGAGCTGTTTCCAGCAATGTTCCCTGGACAGACGCACATGTGTGGTTGTGTCTTACATTTTCATTGTTGTCGAAACATACGTCAGGCCCTTTGCGGTATCTGGGATTCTGAGCCAGCTCGCATGGATCAGGACCTTCGGCTGAACAGAAAATGTCAGGAAAAAGCGTTACACCAGTCGCAGATAACATTAACAACAGCAACTATTGGATGATATAATCTGCCTGCCCAAAAAATCCTTATGTTCTTCCAACCCATCAATCTTGGCTGGAGATATTTCATCCAAGATGTTTGCTGACCTGCTATTATAATTTACGAGAACAATAAAGGCAAAAAGGCAGTTCTAGAAATGATTATTAATGATACAAACTATTTGTAGGAGTACATTCCAAATAATCTTTATCATTAAGCCATGCAATATGTATGTACGTGTATATATATATTAAAATACAGCAGCATGTGTGTATTTCTTGAGTGGGGTCCTTATTAGTGTAGCAACTTGAGGCTGTTTTGACCCCATGGTGGGGATCTCTCATGATGACCTCTGGACTTCTACAATAGTAGGAAGCTACGTTCACGACACATCTGTCAAACAGATACGCTGAACAAATATACAATATATCAATACTCACATTGTACATACATACAAACAAACTGCAGCTCTTAACCTTAATTCATCCTGATGGCAGCATGCAGACCAGATGAATTAAACAAAGAAGTGTAATCTGTGAGTAATATGAGACAGGCTTTCATATGCCGTGCATCTGGTTTACTGTTCACCCCTTAACATTCAGCAGGGACCCACTGCAAACTCCTGAGGTGTGCGTCCTTGTATTGAGAGTTTAAAGCCTCCCTGTCATAAGGGTGATGGATGGAGGGCTGGAAAGTAAAAAGGAAGTGTAACTCTATGTTTGATTTTTACGAGTGAAAGGATACAGGGTTGTTCAGCCTGTCGCAGCGGCCTGGGGTCACAGGACAAACATGTTGCCTTGGCATCAGTGATCAGGAACACTAGGTTGGTGTTTGGCAGCTTCTCAGCACGATACATCCTAGAAAGAAAGACATTCATAGTGGTAAACAGTGCATACAGTATTTATTCAGTAATCTAGCTGTGCTGAAAGGATATCACGCAGCTTCAAATGTAAAGAGATATTCTGTACAATATACTGCATTTGCATATAGAGTGTATAGAATATGCTTTATACAGACAGGTATGTGTGCAGTTGGGCACACAATTACAAAGCTAAACCTCTTCTCTCGTCTGGGGATTGGCTTTTTATGGCAGTTTCTGTGTCTACAGTCGTTAACATTGGGGGGTAAAGCAGCAGACACGTGGGACTCAAAACACCCAGTAATTACAGCCATATTTAACTCCCTCCCACAGCCCAAATTGACACAGAAAGGAGGTTAGAGCAAAGGGGATGTGCAGTGGTCCGTGAATGTGTGTATTAGTGAGTTTGAAGTATAGCCAGGGAGCGAAGGAAGAAACACAGATAAAAGAGCTTTTGTGCTTTCCTCTGCAATTTCGGGCACTGACAGATCAAGGTAATCTGCATCTGATCAAAACTCACCAGAAAACAGCTGCCTGAAATCAGTCTGGAAAACAGAGAGAAGCCAGGAAACTAACACTATCCTGGACCCATCCCTGCACACCCATAAACAGAAGGATGTCCAGGAAGAAGATAGAGTAAAAGGGGAACAAATCTAAAATAAAGAATCCCATGTAATGCATGAGCGGATATAGTCATTCAAATGGGAGCACATGTACATTTTGCACGTATGACAATAGACCCACATACCTGGAGCAGTTTCCACAGTCCAGTACACCTGAGTAGGATCTTTCCTCATTGTCAAAGAAGTACTGAGTCTGCTCTGTGATGCAGCTTTCCTTAAACATGGCATCTGGTATGTCGTCATCCGGTGACTCCGCTAAAAACAAGGGGACATTTTTTATAAAAACAAACACTACAAAAGATTTATTGAGAGAAAGGTGGGATATAAATCCATCACATTTAGAAAGAGGTTGCAAATACTGCTTTGTCATCTCAATATGGCTTACAGTACAGTTATGTTTTGATGTACTAGCTTTTGTTGCTTACCTGCTTCTAGAAGGTTAGGGAACATGAGACCAAAGAAGAGCTGCTGAAGTATCGACCTAGACACAGAGAAGGAAAATAAGAAAATGAGTCACACACAGATGCCATCTATAATTTATATTACATTGAACAACAAACACTTTTAGAGTGTTTGAGTCATTGGTGATCTAAATGTCAAGCGATGTGTCAGTCATTAGATTTTAAAAGTTGTGTATATTGCAGTTGGACAGTCATAGAAATATCAGTGTATTGTTGTGTAACTGCTCTTGCCCTTCACTTACCGGTCAGCCTCATCCCTCAACAACATACATCTCTTTCTCATTTAAAGTCCTACCCCAAAGTACAAATGTACTCCCACTCGCAAGCAATACAAAAAGTGGAAAAACAAAAACACAGAAACATAAACTGTACACTCACCAGGCAGCACTGGAGGCCCACCAGCCAATACTGAGCATGTCTGCAATGGTAGGCTGAAGAAGGGAAATAAAAGAGAGTCATATACCGTAGAGTAAAATCCAAAATAAAGCTGACAAGGAATTTTCTTTTTACATTTTGTCTCACTTTCATGAAACAAGAAATACCTAGAATTACCAGTCAAGTTTCAGGTTACATCGATGTCTGTCCAAATTCTCATTACCTCCTCATTTGACCTTTTCCAACATTTGTGTGATATACTTGATGAGTGATTGTATTTAAGTTATGACCGAAAATTAAAACAGTTGTCACGTTCATACTTTGGTCCGAAAGGATATTCGTGCCAACGCCTTCATAGAATGGGACGAATGAACAAGCCACCCTAAAACCTAATATTCCCAATATTCCAAATGAATCAAGAACCAATATAGTTTTTAATCAAACATGTGTGTGTCTTACCACATAGACGGAGCGGGGTCCTGCTGCAATCTTGCTGCTTTTCTCCGGGTCGCAGACAGACTGGTAGTCATAGGTCTTGTTGAAGGAGTACAGAGAGGTGTTGACCAGGTTTATCATCAGCACAGGATCAACCTCTCCAAAGAACTGACCTATCTAGACGAGTTCAAATACAAACACACAAACACATAAAACCTGTCAACAAAAGCAGTGGAAGACTCTACTTGTACAAACAAATCATACAGCTGTGTAACATCTCCTCGGATGGGGCTTTACAGACTTGGCCATTCATTTCTGCATCGGTGCACTGAACATTTGCTTTTAGGTGCTTCGAGCCAATCAGGACGAGTGGTAAAATGTTCTGAGGCAGCACATTTTACCAGGTGGCAGTCAGCCTGTCACTCTTCCACTTCGCTTCTAATGCCATGCCCTTTTCACCCTCTGTTGAAGCGCTCTTGATAGGCAAGTGTGATGTCACGCTTCAGTGTCCCTTATCTGGGTGTCGATGTTACATTGCTGTCAGTTTCACAGCAGGTTTTCAGCCGCAGCAAGTAGGCTTTGCTTGCTCAACCAAAAGAGCAATTTAAGGCAGAATGTTTGTAACATAGAATACAGGTAAAACAATGTTATCCCATGATTGAACTCAGAATAGTTAACTGTAGCTTCAAGGAGCACTCAGGTTATAAGTCTTCTTAGTTGCAGCGTTCCTACTACCTGAGCATTAACAATACATATAGCCCTGATAGAAGAGCTGTAGCCATCATCATAGAATTATGGCTACTTGTTTTAAAGCTGCAGACAGACTTGAAATGATGCATGATCCCAAGATGTTAAAAAGGGAAAGGAGGGTGCTTTTTCAAATGCAAGACATTGTAATAGCAGAATGGATCAAAGACAGCAGATGTCCCGTCTTGTCTGTCATGCAACGTTTCCAGACCTTCTGCATGTCCTACCGCTGACACACAGGGGCCTATAGCAGCCTGAGAGAGGTGGGTTCACACAGCAGAGCTGACTTCTTGCATTCACAGGGGACTTGCTTCACTTTACCATAGCCTCCATGACTGACTAAAACCCATCACAGTCTTCCCTTTGATCCTCCTCCAGTCGCTAGTGCTTTACTTTACTGGAGACATCGATGTACTGCTGTCCTACAGGAGCTTTCAAACGGCTCATAGCTAACAGGCCATTATCATACCTCAGCAGAGTCATAAGCCCTTTATATGACCTCTATATGCGATTGATGGATCCCTGTGGCATAGAGGAGCTAGGTATGAAGAAAGGTAGAGCAAAGTAAGACATTTGAACGATGGCAAAGTATTTGATTTGAACTTTTCTGACTATATGACCACAGATGACCACATGAGCTCGGGATTTAAGATTTTCATTGCCATTTCTAAACTGTAGCTAGTTTGCATATGACATTAAAGCCTTTGAATCTTGAATCAGATGTTTTATTGTGGGAGGGTTTATCAAATAATTGGACAAGGACAAAGGCAGCAGAAAAGTTAAAGGGGACCTATCATGCAAAATGCACTTTTGTACGTCTTTTATACATGAATATGTGTCCCCGGTGTGTCAGGGAACTCACCAAGTGTCAGAAAACACAACCCTCTCTCTTTTTCTCCATACCCAAATCTCTAAAAACGGGGCTGCAACGGATCTGATACAGACTGATACAGATTTGAAAATGTTCTGACGTCAGAAACGTCTATATGGGCAACCCTCCACTTATCAGGGGAATGAGAGGTTGCGGCATGGTAACAGCATGGTAACAGCATGGTAACATAACACTCGTGCCTCGCCCCCCTCCTTTGCACGGGGGCATGGTCAGCTGCAGCTCATTTGCCACAGAATCAGCCCTTGTGAAGACAGGGCTGGAATAGAGCAAATAGAGTGAAATGAGGCATGGCTAAAATGCATGATCTGTTTGGTATTTTGAAAAATAAACTACAATATATTATTCAAATATAGCATGATAGGTCCACTTTAAGTATACATGGTTGTAATAACGTGAAAAAACTGCTTTTCGGGTAACTTACAAGGGTGATATACTCTTCTTGGTTTGATATCAGAAGAAATCCTCCATCATCCAGGATTACACAGTCCACATGCTGTGGGGGAAAAAAAGATAAAGAGTACAAATAAAGTAGTCCAAAGTATTTGGAATTTAAAAAGAGCTTTCATTATTTATAAAGAGGTACTAATCAAGCTTTATTACAAAAGGTTTCATTGCTGTACCTTGTCATTCCTTAGACAGCCACAGATCTCATCCTTGCACTAAAACGTAAAAAAGTGAACCAGATCATTTGTATTGTATAACGACAAAGCTGTAAACAAATTGTACATTATGATACAATGAGATTATAAACACAACTTACGTTCAGTTTCAGTGTAGCATTTATGAAACTGTTCATCCAGAATGAGACATTGAGTTTCACACCGACCACTACAAAGCAAACCACAAAACAGGCAGATGCACATATGTTGAAACTTGTCATTTATATTGCATCGAACAAATCTTCAAACTTGGGTTAGCAAGACTGACCTGCTGGCTTGAGCGTGACTTCACCAATCGTGACGTCCACCGATTTGCTCACTAGAATACCTGACTCAGTAACAGACTCCCTCACCTCTGCTGCAGTGGAGAAGGGATACACAAGGGAAGGGAATGAAATCATGGCAATTTAACCTAAATCATGTTAAAAAAAAAAACCTTGGCACGGAACCTTTCATAATGGGAATCACAGTCAAATAGGAATAATCGCTATCCATCGTGGGGAATTCCATGCATTTTTAGCTGCTTGTAATTTATGTGAGTGGAGCTGAGTCTGTGAGACCGGTACATGTGTTAATTCAGTCAAGTGTAGCTGAAAGCGCAGCTACATTACGTCTGCCTGTCCTGATGTCTGTTAGAGAGATCAGCGGAGATAACAGGAAGCAGGGCAGGAGGGAGATGGGAGGGGGGGGGGGGGGGAGTGCTGACAGACACAGTGGGAAAAAGGAGAAGGATAAAGAGTGATATCAGAGGCCTGAGAGTGTGATCTTTGCCAGGAGAATCGAGATGACGTCCAAAAGGCAGAGAGCAGGATAGGCTCAGTGCCAGACCACATTGAGGACCCTCAAACATACAAAAGTGCACGAAAAATACACACTGTCCAACCTTTCAGAAAACTTACGGAAATATGGAGCTGTGAAAATATAAACTTCATTGTCCAGGGTCCTTTTGTAGAAGCTGGACTCGTATGTCTCCGGATTCTCAGCCCAATCTTCTCCAGCACTGAAAATGAGTATTGTATCATAGTATTATATATGGGCCATTATTTCCATAAAACACCAAGCAAAAGTATTTGAGGTATCTGGAAAATGTGTATTTAAAATCTTTAGCCAGATTTGAGTCATCAAAATAGCAATCAAATCTGAAGCACTTGATATATGTCAAGAGCATGACCCTGTTAAAAGGAACAAGGGATTGAGTTCCAGGTTTTATAGGCAGGAGGAATATGCATTTATCTTCAGCTGGAGTATAATATTCTGACCAAGCGAAACCCCCCACATTTAGGTTAGACAAAAGAAGCAGCGAGGAAATTGAGGAAAATGAGCTGCGTTGGGCTGCTGGATGTGTGGTTATGACCCGTGTCCTGTTCCGGCTTGGCAAGCTCTGGGAGTTCAGCTATAAGTGTCTAATCCTCTCTGTTCTGGAGAATAACCCAGTGGAGCAGGTGAGTAAGGCAGCCAAAAAAACGCTCAGCTCAAGAGCATTACAGTCTGTATCCATTTTCATCTCACACATTTACACCAGCAAATATTTGGGCAAGGCTTGACGGGCTGTTTTACGACGCCAGCACTAACGTGAGAAAAGAGAGAGAGGAGATTACCTTCTTGGGAAGACTCTTGTGATTCCTCCATCTGTGGCTACAAACCTGGCCACTATCCCATCCCTGAAAACATGGAAAACAGCCTCCAATCAAACATCAAAGCCAATCGCACTGATTAGAAAAAGTATTTGTGATCTGTGAGAGCAAGCTGCAGACATGACACAAATCGTATGTGCCCACAGTCACTTGCCTTCATATGTGCTAACGCTAAACAGACACTCTGCAGTGTGAGTGTAAGTGTTTGTTCAGATTATTTCAGACAAGTGGGCCTACCATGAAAGGAAACACACTGATGCAATTATTTTATTTTTCCTCTAGAAACAGCATGTCTTGGCAGAGCTCTTGGTTGGGTGTGATATGTATTCTGTTCTTTGCTTTCATCGTATTTCTCTAGTTGGATATGATCAAATCAACCAGAGTAGAAAGGATAGATTGAAACTCTGGCTCAGTTACTCAGTAAATTGAGCATGAAATAAGCGTTGGCTATTGTAGTACAGAGCAATATTGTGCACATGCAACACAGATTTCTATATAAAGAATGTTTTTAATAAGCACTGTAAGTGGTGCATTGTAAAGAGAGAAAGATTTGAGACTCACACTGTCTGCTCGTTCCAAAGTTTAACCAGTCCAGCTGTCAGACCTGCATCCAGAATTACTCGATTCACCAGGGACATATTACCTGTCAATATAAGAAAAGATACATTTCGCATATTTCAAACATCACCATAAAAACCCTGCTCACTAGGGAAATACGGTTGAAGCAACGTCCGTCTTTTGTGTAAGAATCTTGGCAGGAAAGATGGTTATGTTGTGCTTTTGGTCTTTACTGATGAGCCACTGAGCAATGCTCTTAATCCAGTATTCTCTTTTTCAGCTTAACTGTTAACTGGCTAGCATGGATGATACGCTGGAGACAAGTGTTTAAGTGTTTGAAAATGGTAGACAAAGAGAAGGTGTGTCGAGCCAAATGTCGAGCCAAATCGAAAAGTTGCTCTTATGGAACTTGTTAAGAAATCATCCAGCTGGGAGACATGTTTTTGTAGGTCTTTTCTGAGTGATTATTAGACAGTTAGTCAGCAGGGAAACATCTTTGAAACATTTGCTGTTGCTGCTTTAAAAGAGAGACAATGCCAAGATATTGAGTTTGAACCCCATTGTAAAGAAAATTACTTTTTTAAAGTAAGCACAGGTTAGTTAAATACAACTTCCATAGAATGCCACAGTGACGCGTCCTAAAACCGAATCGTACATTTAATCGATATATTTATGATCGATAGATTTATGATTCGAAAATTATAAAAGTAGGGTAGACATGTGGAGATTATCCGACTGAACAAAACGTGATCCGTCTCTTAAATATGTGTCAACCACAGACCTTATTTCGAGCTATTTTCCAAAGTCCTATGGAGAAATTGCATTGCTTTTTTGTCGAAGTAACCCAGGACGCGTCACTGTGGCACTCTATTGAGCGTTGTTTTAAAGGTCCCTTATTATACTGTTTTTCCTTACTTTATTATGGGTCTCAGATGCAAATTTGTGAAGTC